AATTATGGTGCAGTCTTGGAGGATAATTCTTTCTTATCGCATGCAGATGTATAATTTATTGTTTTGATTTTTTTTAACCTGCCTAAGTTAAAAGATGAATTTCTTTCAACTGTCAGACAGACGGTGGAATAGCACCCTTCACACATTTCAATTTCATGTAGTTCTCTGTCAAAGTAACTTCCTGAAACATCACTCAAGCCAGTGGAGCATGTTAGTGGAAACAGGGCTAAGAAAGAGAAACGATGACAAACAAATACAAAGTCATCATCACTGAAGCTGCAAGCTTRGAGGACAGCTTCTTTATCTGATGTGCTGTCCAAAAAATGTCYTTTTAAAAGAAGACTTTGATCAAATGAAATTAGATGGGTTTTTTCTGCTATTGCCACATTTATTTTTATTTTTTTAGAGAGAAATATTAGCAGTGGTGGGCACAAAAAGAAATTAAATGACATTTGACAATACTTATGATAAAGTATTTGCTATTTGTTGTTTGACTAACTACAAATGGTATAAATGAAAATATATACTCCAACAAAAGGGCTTTTATTCTGAAAGGGTTAAACTGGAAGTATCAMAARTTAGACAGAGMTATAACTTTGGTTTGGATTGGTCAATTTGCCACAGTTGATCCCACCCTCCTACAACAGGTTGTGTCAATCCTACCGGTCTGAGTGACAGTCATGTTAGCATTTAGCGGTTAGTGTTAGCTTCCCCTAATTGTTAATCTCTTTAGTGGTTTACTGTTAGCGGCATTAAGATTCTTGTTTAGCAGATTAGTGGTTAGTGAAGCTAGCTTTTTGGATAGCTGTGCCCACCAATGAATATAAGGAGTTGCTGCAGAGCCCCAGCGAGTTGCAGCAAAAGCATCAGCCATAAAGCACATCGTGTTACACACAAGGGTAAAGGAATAAACAACATGTCTACAGCGTGAAATGTGTGACAGCAACCAACTACCACCAACAAAGCTGATCAGAAAACCAGTTTGGGGAGTTAATTTTCTTTCCAAAAAGGCAAATTTCTCTAATAAATCATGCCTAAATTATTTCACTTGCAATTAAATACTGATAGTTTAACATGAATTTCCTGTCCAGCTACAATTTCCAAGGGTCCAATGCTGAAAAATTCAACCAGAGTTGAGCACAAACCAGCTATTTGATTCAAATATTCACACAACTAATGCTATCAAAAATTTACTTGTTTTCTTTCTATCTATTATTTTAAAGGGAATAAAAAGCACAACGTAAAATCTGAGGTGCAGCATGAATCCACAGGGTGCAAATAAAAAATGAATTTGACAGAATTTGCTTGACAGCGTTTGTCTCAAACATAATTTAACTGGAAAAGATAAAGTGTGAGTGAAGTGCAGGGAAACACATAAAACGCAGGCAAGATATGAAGAAGAAGAAGAAGAAGAAGAAGAAGAAGAAGAAGAAGAAGAAGAAGAAGAAACAACTCCACTGTGGGGCTTTCTTTTGTATTTCAATGGGCAGGCTCAAAGAAATGTAAATAATTAAACACCTTCACCCCATCACTGTGAGCTCTGGGCAATTATTATTACGAGTTCTCTTCCAAGAATGCTATTGCAGAGAATTCTAAACGACCAAAGGGTTTATAGAAGAAGAGGGCGAAAAAAGGTGAAAGGTCATTCAACATGGCTAAATAAGTTCATCTACCAAACCAAAACTCAAAATACAGAAATATTGTTAGAGAAGAAAATACAAACTCAGGTATGACACAAACTAGGAATAATGAGAGAACAGTATTACTTCCCCTGAACAAATGGTGACTTTTGTTGCTTCTTTWAAAAAAATAGTAGAAAAATATGATTTTGATGTTTTGTTTATTTTTGTCTGCACATTCAAATTTATGGACTCTTGAAAATGGTTTTGAGGCTAAAACTTAACAATTCAACTATTGCCTTTACTTGTAAAATTAATGCCAGACACTGCTATCTAGTTTTATAGCTGTGTCTCAACAAATGTTATAGGCCTGTAAGTCGATCAATGAGCCACAGCAAACCATTGACAAAGCTGAGGTGACAGCGCACATAAGTATCTTTCAGCATCCGCGCGCGCACACACACACACACACACACACGTGCATGGATCTGAATACAAATGCATGAAAACATGCAGACAGATATAAACTTGAACACAAGCTAAGCATTAATATAGTTGGGGGGAGGTAGGATTTATTGGGCCATATTTCTTTCTCTTTTGATTAAAAAACGTCTTCTTCTCGACGTGATTTATGTGTGTAAATAAAAAGGAATGGAGGGCAGGGAGAGTCGGAGAGAGGGAGGGGCGCGAGGGGTGGGGATGACATCATGCTTTCAGTCGGGCTTTTCTGCCAAACGGTGGCATCCTTTCAGTCCGTAGAGTGGGAGTGAACACAATCGGACAAAGTGCACTACTGTGTGGGGGTTGTGTGTGTGTGTGTGTGGGGGGGTTCGGCTTTGGTGACATTTGGGGGCAATTTTAAGACAAAAATCCTACATTTGGGGACAACTGGTGCATTTGGGGACCTAAATCGAGTCCCCGTTTGGTTTAAATGCCATTGGTGGGTTGGAGGTTGGGTTTAGGACCAAGGTGTGAATTGAGATTAGGTTAGTTTTAGGGTCAGGTACCTGTGAGGTTAGCCTTAGGGTATGTGGTCAGGGTTAGGCTGTAGAAATGTAATGGAAGTCGATGAAATGCCCCCAAACGGGTAGCTGTGCAAACATGTGTGTGTCTGGAGGTGAATCAGAGCAGCTAAAGGAAGATAGTCTTTGCATCTGTGTATRTTTCCAAACATATTAGGATGATAGCACTGAGTTGTCCCAAAAAGAGAGAAGAGCGAGGTAAAAGAGACTGAAGAAAACAAGCAATGTGTCTATTTTTCAGGTAACAAAACTCCAATGAAAATATCTTTTTAGCAGCTCTTCAATACATCAGACATCTGTTTGACATCAGTCTGCGGGTAATTTCAGATTTTTTTTTTGCCATATGGACTGACAAACTCTCCAATTATGCGACCAGACACTCAAACCACCAGGCAATCACAGGCAGACATCTCTATTGCAACATAAGAAAAAAAAGTTCTTTGAGTTATCATGAGCCCCTAAAAAATGCTAATTGTTAAAAGCGTAAAAGGTTAAAAATCCAATTTATCTTGTAAATTACATTTAGAGACGTACACAATACGTGAGTCAAGACATAGAGAATTCTTTACCTCGACTGCACACTCCCCAACACCTCGTTCAGGATTTACAAACAATGAAACCCAAGAGGGAACCTCCCCACCTTACCATCACTCTTGTTGATTTTCTCTGCGGAGCCTCCCCTTTGTTTTGTCTCTTTAAAGCTGCTCTAAGCCCATCTTAAAAGGGAAATGATGCAGAACAAATCCTAAGCAGGAGTTGACAGTGCGGGATAGGAGACTACTAATGCTCCCCTATTACTGACATCCAAATCAGTAAACAGTGTATGCGTGTGACAAACATGCTGTCGTTCTGAGATGAGTTATCGGTCTTTTAACTGCATACTAAATACAAGTATTAAAGCTCACTATATATGTAAAAAATATAAGACTTGTATAAAACATAACTAAAGTATCTTGTTTATCCATCTGGCCATAAGTTATTTAAATCAAAACAAGCAAACTCCCACAGATGAAGCAGATGTTTGGTTCAAAATGTTTTTCTTGACCTTGATGCTATTGTACATTTTGGTGTCCTTTTTTAAAATCTATTTCATTTAAGCTATGCAAAGTAAATTACCCTAAACTTGTACACTTGCTCAATTAAAAAAAGGTGTGAGTTTACCAAAAAATAAAAAAAACATCCACATGCTGTTAGGAATGTAGTGAAATCATGGATAAATGTAGTTAAAGATTTAATCAAAAAGCCCTCACTGCTGTTTCTTAAAGGCATCTGCATACTCTCTCCAAACTGACAAAATCGGGTGTCATTAGCTATGTTTACATGCACAAAATTTCTGGATCRGATTGAAACGTGTTCGGATTAAATAATCCGAATGTCCCATCTACGTGGGCACAAAATGAATTAATCTGATCCGGACTTTTATTCATAYTAGAGGTACTGACATTCGCAGAGTTGTAAACTTTAAAAAACACAGATGTTCTACTTAYGTGATGAACATAAAGAAACAGGTTTTAATAATGGTGGAGATGTTACTGCCCTCCTTGTTTTTTTGTTTTTTATTTTTTTGCGTAGCAACGTWTGCCGTTTGTCTCCCTTCTTTACCAGATGAGAGRGCAGGAGGAAGTAAACATCCTTGAAAGTTYTGTGCTGCTGGCAACTKCAGCGCTGCTATCCCTCCCATCCCATAAGATCAGAAACCAGTGGATGAAAGTCAGAAGTCATGAGCAGTCTGATCCGTTTTCCACTACCAGAATAACATGATCAGATTAAGTGTTGGCATGCACGCCGCTCGGATTATCAATGGGCATAAAACATCCCTCTCATTCTGATTACAAATTCATTTGGATCGAGCTGAATCAGATTTGAATATTTGGATGGGGGTGTTTACGTGAGGGATTTTTATTATATTTTTATTGGCTGTTTAATCTGATWACTTATGTTCATGTAAACATAGCTAGTGTCACAGATGCATGATGCRGYTTTGARTCWKCTGCCCCTTCTTGTCMCAACCTGCCTWAAGAACTTTTCACACCCCTCTGAATAAAAACGTACTGTGTGACTGGTCAGAAGTTAATGGGCGTGTTTTTTTAATTCTTTTTACTTCAACTACTCACTTCCAGAATCCTACTGTTGTACCAGGACGCAGACATTTATAAAATGYCCGAAAACTCAGGGATGGAGATAAAACAGAWAYTGTACATGGAGGAATCAGTCTGCCAAAACCTGTGGAGCACGGTATGTCTCAGGGGCTATGAGCCACAACCATGTGACCACACGTCTTTGGATGGAGTACACGGAGGCCGTAAGACATTACACAGAATAGCTGCGTGATTGTAAAAGAGTAACTTTTCATACTCACATAAGGCCTGGGAGCAGGTGAGCAGCAGCAATAGCAGCAGAGTRATCACATGCAACAGGAACGGCAAGGAGAGACGGCGGGCATCACTGGTGGCCATCTTGGCTGTGGCGGGGGGGAGGGCAGGGGCGGGACCGATCGACGACCTGGCCGGGGAGCCGAGGCCCCGGCTGTGCAGGAGAGTTTGGGTCTTCACRCAGGACTGCTTGGCACTCTGGAAAAGCACAGAACACATATGCATAAACATCAGATGTTTTTAAATATATATATTTTTTACAATTGCCTTAAAWTTTTTTGGAAAGGGGTGTTTTGTGTTTTATTTTATAAAATAGTTGCAKGTGTAACTTTACCTAAAACAACAAATTGTTTAAAAAATGTTCAGTGAACAATTGAAATTGCAAGAAACTCAGCTGCTTGGTGACATTTTTTGCTACATTCTGTAAGCATCACGTCACACAAACATAAAACTGTTGCATTTTGCCACAAAGCATCTACTCACATCCCTTAGATTGCAAAAGAATTCTTGTTTATTTTTTCTTTTTCTCCCCCTGTAGTCTAATMGCCTGATCGTCACTTTTTTGCTTATCCCATTGACTTGTAATTACACAGGCATTTGATGATATTCCAGGCATGCTCTCTTTGCTTTAGTCAAATTGCCAATAATCCCACAGCATAAACGAAAAGCAGGGTCGACACCCAGCACACTCTAGCTCYCTCGCTGATGTGGCTGATGCGGCACGGAGCTACTCCGTGGTTACGCACACCCTTTAATTATAAACAAATTAATGAAGAGCATGTGTTATAKCTGTTAAAATCCATTTTCTACACTTTCGCAAGCACTTTATTGAAAAATGCGACAGCAGTTGAGCACAACAGTACTGTATTTCTAAAAAGGACTCCGCAACTTGTAGCGTAGTCTGCCTCAGCAATTGAGCTGCAAACAAAAAAAGAAAAAAGAAAAAAAATACAAGACTGTTCAATCCCAGAGGACCAAAAACACAAGACAGAGGGTCAAGCACCTGTGACAGCCAGGATCTGCCCAGCTTTATTGTCCTTCTGAAAGACAATGAACTCCTCTGAGATCCGGGGAAGGTACCACTCAGCTGAGACTACGAGGGGTGAGGGCCATTCTCGAGAAGGGAGATTAATTACCTGCGCACTAGGTGGTTAACAGGGTACAACAGTGCAAACTGTGCCGAGTCTGTGCAATTTATAATTTTTTTCCCTATGTGACCAGGAGGTCAAAAATACTGGATGCAAGTTTGAACCCTTTGATCCTCAGAACAGTCACTTTCAAGCTGTCTCCGGGGGCAGTGTAAAAGCCTTACTTGGCTACACACTACAAGTTTTCATAAGATGTGTTTGTGACTGACTGCAGTTATGAAATGGCATTGCAAATTCCACCAACCACATACAATCGGACTCAAGGACGCATGGGACAAAAGAAGGCTAGTTTGATSGCTACTACTAAAGTAAAACAAGATAAAACATACTGTATATACTTACATGGCCAACACATTTAATCCAATCATCAGCAGGCTTACATTTATTTTTACCAGATCGCCCAAMCTAGGGCTGGGTGATATGGCTGAAAAATGTAGCACAATATGTATCATAACATAAGTGTTGTTATGAGAATTTTTTTTTACCTATTTTAATTAGAGACCAGGTGTAAAAAATGGCTGATTAATACTGCCAAACCTTTCCTCTTTTATCACCAATTTCCTCTTGAGCTGTTGCACTCATTTTCCCCTTTAACTCCATGTCATTCCTTTTTTTATTTTTAAAGAGGCACTTACTCCAAAATCTTTTTTTTTTGCAGAAAAACTGTTTAAACTGTGTCCTAAGGGTAATACCTTTCTATTTATCACTAAAATTCAACATTTTGGGCTAAAATTGTTTAAATCTACAATATTGTGTCTAAAAACGTCTTTGTGCTGTTCTCTATGGGGCTACTACATTTGAATTTCTTGATTCGTTCAAAAAATATCGTATGACGTTGCTGGCACCGTGTGTCGTCTCACAGCACAGTGTTCAGTATAAAAGCCTCTCTGTAGAGACACGCCCTGCAGAGATTCAGGAGTTAGCCATAGCATTGTTGATCAKTRCTGTGGTAGAAGCTGCCTTCTCCTCAGCCACAGYGAAAACATGGAGTCTATCAGCCATAAAACAAACTGAACTAACTTACACATCCTCTTTGTGCTTCAAGATTTTTGTTTAAACAAAATTCAAGATTGCTGTATCATGTTTAGATCGGGCCAAAATACATACACGCCCTCGTATACACAGTCTCCACGATGTCGGAAAAACGTCCACACACACACACACACACGACTCCACGA